GGGGGGTTGGAGAGGGAGTGGGGATCAGGCCCGGAGCCGGATCCGCCGCCAAGGCGGAGTGCCCACCCGGTCCCTCCCCTGTGGTATTTAGTTGGCGCGGTCGGAGTCCGCGCCTTTAGGGGGGGGTACTGTCACGCCCTGGCTCTGGGGACACTGTTATGTTGAGCCAGGGTGTGTAGATCTATGTACTCTATTTCTATGTTGGCCTGAGTGACTCCCAATCAGAGGCAACGAGTGTCAGCTGTTTGCTGGTTGTCTCTGATTGGGAGCCATATTTAAACTGTCGGTTTTTCCTTTGTTTTTGTGGGTTCTTGTTTCAAGTTGGTTGTGTTTGACCGTGAACTGTCACGTTACCGTCTTTGTTGTTTTGATCGTGTTTCGCTCAATAAAGAGTATGTTTGCCTGCAACGCTGCGCCTTGGTCCTCATCTGTTCCTGACGATCGTGACAGTTGCGTCTCAAATGGCACCCTATTCCCTTTATAGTGCACTACTTTAGACTATTGGCCCTGGTTAAAAGTAGTGCACTACGTAGGGACATTTGGGACGCATCTTTTTTTTGTTGTGAAATTGAACCAGGAGGAGTTCAAGTATCCTGACAGTCTTTGCTGTCTACCTCCACTCTGATAGATAATCTTATGTACTCATTCAGAAGCAGATGTTCAGGTTGTTAGTAAACTTCATGGCAGCTTCCCTGATGTGGATGTGATTCTTTCCTGATTTGAAGTGTTCATGAAGTGCTTCTTATAGAGCCCAGTTTCCCCTTTCTCCCTCGCATTTCCATGATGAATTGTTTATTGTTAACCAACGCAGTAATTCCCTTGTATTTGTTCCTGATGTAAAACTGATCCACTCTGATATATAAACGGATGCATTCTCTTCAAAGCAGGTTTTCAGGTTGTTAGTGAACTTAGGAAAACGTAATCTACCATCAGATGAGACCACATCAGCTCCAGACAGTTCCTCCTGCCCTATTTGGACAGAGGCCCAAATCCTCCTCCTCTCCTCCGCCATCTTCTCCTAGCCATAACCATTCATTTCATTCATACAGTAAATATGATCTGTCATCATACCTGTCTTAAGGTGTCACATCAGCCAAATAGGGGATGTTTTATTGGCATAAAAGCTACATCGCGGCAGATCTCTTTGTATGTATTACCTGAAGATGGTCCAAAACTTAAGCGCTACTGTAGTTATGGCCAGCTGTGCAAACTCAACACCACCTGTTCATTGTCAGCCCTCCGGGCGAAGTGTACAGTGGTAGAGAATGATTGCGTCCCAAATAGCACCCTAGTCCCTATATAGTGCACTACTTTTGACCAGAGAAAAGTAGTGCACTATAAAGGAAAAGAAGGCTAGCTCATGTCCGGGGGGGGGGCTATGGTAGTCTCACTGCTGGTAGTCTCACTGCTGGTAGTCTCACTGCTGGTAGTCTCACTGCTGGTAGTCTCACTGCTAATTGAGATGGGACATGGATAGTATGGGAACCAGTAGTAACCAGTAGTAACAAGATCTGCTCTTCTCTCCCTCCTGTTCTACTCTCTGGTCTGTATGAGGCTGAGCCCTTGAGACGCTCAAATGCATATTTAAATATCCATCTGCAGCAGTAGGGGCAGAAGTGCTCACTATTTCATTACCTCTATTTTGCTCCTTTTGTGCAGTTTTCTCCCTACATCTCTCTCTCTCTCTCTCTCTCTCTCTCTCTCTCTCTCTCTCTCTCTCTCTCTCTCTCTCTCTCTCTTCCTTTTTGCCTTCTCTCCATCTTGGTTTCTCCAAGTGATCCTGACTAAATACCAGTTGCAAATTAAAGTGTTAGCAATATTTCATCCTCTGTCAGCCATTATCATATTCATAAAAAAATCCTGTGTGCTGTAATTTCATTAAGATTCATTTGTGTTGTTGATTGGTTTGTAAATGAGCAGCCTAGTCAGACTGTTTGCCTCTGTTCCTTTGAACGAGTCGGATTACTAGAAACCAACCAGCTGGTGTTTTGGCTCTGACACCACATCACACACTTCTTCTGCTGTTTGAGAAATGTGCTTTGAGCCAAAGTCTACATCCCAAATGGCACCCTATTCCCTGCACTACTTCCTATGTGCCCTGGTCAAAAGTAGTGCACTATATAGGGAATAGGGTGCCATTTTATGTTAGCTACAAGGAAAAGCAAACCCTCTCAGACTCTCAGTATGTTTTATAGTTCAGTGACAAATACAGAGAGAGGAAGAGTTGGAGAGAGACAGACAGACAGACAGACAGACAGACAGACAGACAGACAGACAGACAGACAGATAGACAGAAAGACAGACAGACAGACAGACAGACAGACAGACAGACAGACAGACAGACAGACAGACAGACAGACAGACAGACAGACAGACAGACAGAAAGACAGAGACAGACAGACAGAGAGAGAGACATGTAGTGTGAGAGGATGAGAGAGAGAAAGAGATGGAGACAGAGAGAGACAGAGAGATACTTTTTATTTTTGTTTTACTTGCTTTGGAAATGTAAACATATGTTTCCCATGCCAATAAAGCCCCTTTGAATTGAGCGAGAGCGAGAGAGAGAGAGAGAGAGAGAGAGAAAGAAATTGAGAAACCTATCCAACACAAAACATAGAGACCCAGAAAGCCTGAGCCTACGCCTTAACTATGGTGAATCCCTAAAACAATACAGAAATACACTACGGAAAAAGAAGGAACAGCATGTCAGAAATCAGCTCAATGTAACTGAAGAATCCATAGACTCTAACCACTTCTGGGAAAATTGGAAAACACTAAACAAACAACAACACAAAGAGGTATCTATCCAAAACGGAGATGTATGGGTAAACCATTTCTCCAATCATTTCAAATCAAATCAAATCAAATTGTATTTGTCACATGCGCCGAAAACAACAGGTGTAGTAGACCTTACAGTGAAATACTTACTTACAAGCCCTTAACCAACAATCTTCTCATGCTTTGTTGATTTCAAAAAAGCTGTGTTATCCTCAAAGCTGGCGAAGAAGGTGTTTAGCTTTTCTGGAAGCGAGACGTCGGTGTCGGCGACGTGGCTGGTTTTCCTTTTGTAGTCCGTGATTGTCTGTAGACCCTGCACCGTTGCCCTAGAGCACACAAAAAACTACACATACCTCGGTCTAAACATCAGCGCCACAGGTAACTTCCACAAAGCTGTGAACGATCTGAGAGACAAGGCAAGAAGGGCCTTCTATGCCATCGAAATAAACATAAAATTCGACATAGCAATTAGGATCTGGCTAAAAATACTTGAATCAGTTATAGAACCCATTGCCCTTTATGGTTGTGAGGTCTGGGGTCCGCTCACCAACCAAGAATTCACAAAATGGGACAAACATTTTGCAAAAATATCCTCCTTGTACAACGTAAAACACAAAATAATGCATGCAGAGCAGAATTAGGCCGTTACTCGCTAACTATCAAAATCCAGAAAATAGCAATTAAATTCTACAACCACCTAAAAGGAAGCGATTTCCAAACCTTCCATAACAAAGCCATCACCTGCTGGCCTCCCGAGTGGCACAGCGGTCTAAGGCACTGCATTGCAGTGCTTGAGCCGTCACTACAGCCCCGAGTTCGATCCCAGGCTGTGTCACAGCCGGCCGTGACCGGGAGCCCCATGAGGCGGTGCACAATTGGCCCAGCGTCGTCCGGGTTAGGGGAGGGTTTGGCCGGCCGGGATTTCCTTGTCCCATCTCGCTCTAGCAACTCCTTGTGTCGGGCCGGTAGCCTGCAAGCTGACTTTGGTCGCCAGTTGTATGGTGTTTCCTCTGACATTGGTGCGGCTAACTTCCGGGTTAAGCGAGCAGTGTGTCAAGAAGCAGTGCGGCTTGGCAGGGTCGTGTTTCGGAGGACGCATGGCTCTCAACCTTCGCCTCTCCCGAGTCTGTGCAGGAGTTAAAGCGATAAGACAAGACTGTAACTAACTACATTTTTACATTTTACATTTTAGTCATTTAGCAGATGCTCTTATCCAGAGCGACTTACAGTTAGTGAGTGCATACATTTTCATATTGGCCCCCCGAGGGAAACGCACCCACAACCCTGGCGTTGCAAGCGCCATGCTCTACCAACTGAGCTACTACCAATTGGATATCACGAATTTGGGGAGAAAAAAAGGGGTAAAAGTACTAAAAAAATTAATGACTGGATAATTGGAAAGAATTAACAGGGCAAACTATAATGCTATTTGGCCCTAAACAGAGAGTACACAGTGGCAGAATACCTGACCTCTGTGACTATGTACAGACTCAGTGGGCATAGCCTTGCTATTGAGAAAGGCCGCCGTAGGCAGACCTGGCTCTCAAGAGAAGACAGACTATGTGCACACTGCCCACAAAATGAGGTGGAAACTGAGCTGCACTTCCTAACATCCTGCCAAATGTATGACCATATTAGAGACACATATTTCCCTCAGATTACACAGACCCACAAAGAATTAGAAAACAAATCTAACATTGATAAACTCCCATATCTATTGGGTGAAATACCAGTGTGCCATCACAACAGCAAGATGTGTGACTTGTTACCACAAGAAAAGGGCAACCAGTGAAGAACAAACACCATTGTAAATGCAACCCATATTTATGTTTATTTATTTTCCCATTTGTACTTTAACTATTTGCACATCGTTACAACACTGTATATAGACATAATACGACATTTAAAATGTCTCTATTCCTTTGGAACTTTTGTGAGTGTAATGTTTACTGTTCATTTTTTTATTGTTTATTTCACTTTTGTTTATTAACTATTTAACTTGCTTTGGCAATGTTAACATATGTTTCCCATGCCAAAAAAGCCCTTTGAATTAAATTGAATTGACAGAGAAAGAAAAAGAGAGAGAGAGAGAGAGAGAGAGAGAGAGAGAGAGAGAGAGAGAGAGAGAGAGAGAGAGAGAGAGAGAGAGAGAGAGAGAGAGAGAGAGAAAGAAATTGAATTGAAAACACCAACTTAGAGTAGATTCCTCTTCTTTACTGCAGTTTGGGAACTGGCACACAGAGTCCCTTATCACAGAGTCCCTTATGCTTTCAACTAAGGTGACTGGGTGAACTTTACAATAAATAGTTTACAGTGCCATTACTCAAGCTGCTATGGCTGATTGCAGCCGAAGCCGAACGATATCTGTTCTGTACTCTCCTAGCTAGACTATATGGTAAAGGTGAACTATACTCTAGACTATATGGTAAAGGTGTTCTGTACTCTCCTAGCTAGACTAAGGTGACCTATACTCTAGACTATATGGTAAAGGTGTTCTGTACTCTCCTAGCTAGACTAAGGTGACCTATACTCTAGACTTTATGGTAAAGGTGACCTATACTCTAGACTTTATGGTAAAGGTGACCTATACTCTAGACTTTATGGTAAAGGTGACCTATTCTCTAGACTTTATGGTAAAGGTGACCTATTCTCTAGACGTTATGGTAAAGGTGACCTATACTCTAGACTATATGGTAAAGGTGACCTATACTCTAGACTTTATGGTAAAGGTGACCTATACTCTAGACTATATGGTAAAGGTGACCTATACTCTAGACTTTATGGTAAAGGTGACCTATACTCTAGACTTTATGGTAAAGGTGACCTATACTCTAGACTTTATGGTAAAGGTGACCTATACTCTAGACTATATGGTAAAGGTGACCTATACTCTAGACTATATGGTAAAGGTGACCTATACTCTAGACTTTATGGTAAAGGTGACCTATTCTCTAGACTTTATGGTAAAGGTGACCTATACTCTAGACTTTATGGTAAAGGTGACCTATACTATAATAATAATAATAATATGCCATTTAGCAGACGATTTTATCCAAAGCGACTTACAGTCATGCGTGCATACATTTTTGTGCATGGGTGGTCCCGGGGATCGAACCCACTACCTTGGCGTTTCAAGCGCCGTGCTCTACCAGCTGAGCTACAGAGGACCACATACTCTAGACTTTATGGTAAAGGTGACCTATACTCTAGACTTTATGGTAAAGGTGACCTATACTCTAGACTTTATGGTAAAGGTGACCTATACTCTAGACTATATGGTAAAGGTGACCTATACTCTAGACTTTATGGTAAAGGTGACCTATACTCTAGACTATATGGTAAAGGTGACCTATTCTCTAGACTTTATGGTAAAGGTGACCTATGCTCTAGACTTTATGGTAAAGGTGACCTATGCTCTAGACTTTATGGTAAAGGTGACCTATGCTCTAGACTTTATGGTAAAGGTGACCTATTCTCTAGACTTTATGGTAAAGGTGACCTATGCTCTAGACTTTATGGTAAAGGTGACCTATGCTCTAGACTTTATGGTAAAGGTGACCTATACTCTAGACTATATGGTAAAGGTGACCTATTCTCTAGACTTTATGGTAAAGGTGACCTATACTCTAGACTATATGGTAAAGGTGACCTATACTCTAGACTTTATGGTAAAGGTGACCTATGCTCTAGACTTTATGGTAAAGGTGACCTATACTCTAGACTATATGGTAAAGGTGACCTATACTCTAGACTTTATGGTAAAGGTGACCTATGCTCTAGACTTTATGGTAAAGGTGACCTATGCTCTAGACTTTATGGTAAAGGTGACCTATACTCTAGACTTTATGGTAAAGGTGACCTATACTCTAGACTTTATGGTAAAGGTGACCTATGCTCTAGACTTTATGGTAAAGGTGACCTATACTCTAGACTTTATGGTAAAGGTGACCTATACTCTAGACTTTATGGTAAAGGTGACCTATACTCTAGACTATATGGTAAAGGTGACCTATACTCTAGACTTTATGGTAAAGGTGACCTATACTCTAGACTTTATGGTAAAGGTGACCTATACTCTAGACTTTATGGTAAAGGTGACCTATATTCTAGACTTTATGGTAAAGGTGACCTATACTCTAGACTATATGGTAAAGGTGACCTATACTCTAGACTTTATGGTAAAGGTGACCTATACTCTAGACTATATGGTAAAGGTTACCTATACTCTAGACTATATGGTAAAGGTGACCTATTCTCTAGACTTTATGGTAAAGGTGACCTATGCTCTAGACTTTATGGTAAAGGTGACCTATGCTCTAGACTTTATGGTAAAGGTGCTCTAGACTTTATGGTAAAGGTGACCTATACTCTAGACTTTATGGGTAAAGGTGACCTATACTCTAGACTTTATGGTAAAGGTGACCTATGACTCTAGACTTTATGGTAAAGGTGACCTATACTCTAGACTTTATGGTAAAGGTGACCCTATACTCTAGACTTTATGGTAAAGGTGACCCTATACTCTAGACTTTATGGTAAAGGTGACCTATACTCTAGACTTTATGGTAAAGGTGACCTATACTCTAGACTTTATGGTAAAGGTGACCTATACTCTAGACTTTATGGTAAAGGTGACCTATACTCTAGACTTTATGGTAAAGGTGACCTATACTCTAGACTTTATGGTAAAGGTGGACCTATATCTAGACTAATGGTAAAGGTGACCTATACTCTAGACTATTAGGTAAAGGTGGACCTATTACTCAGGACTATATGTACGGTGACCTTACTCGACTTTAGGGTAAAAGGTGACCTATGATCTAGACTTTATGGTAAAGGTGAACTATGCTCTAGACTTTCTTTTATGGTAAAGGTGACCTAGTACTCTAGACTTTATGGTAAAAGGTTGAAAACTGCTTCTGGCCATGTTGGGATGGTGGACTCTCTCTGGAAGGATGGACCTATCACCCTCGCAGTGACCTGATTATCTAGTGTCTCATTGTCTCATTGTGTAGGTTTGGTGTATGTGTGTGTGCATGCGTGGGCGAGTGTGTGCGTGTGTTTGTGTGTGTACGGTTGTGTGTGTATTCTCGAGTGGTCAATAGCACCTACACCCAATGTGTGGAACCACTGTCTCTCTGTCAGAGGGACGACATTAGGACAACATTGAGGTGACATTAGGACAACATTTAGGTGACATTGGGTCGACACTCCAGCTGTGAATGGCATTCTGTTCTATTTGAACAGCCATACCATCGCAAATCGAATTCTTGAATGAAGTTAATGCAGAAGCAATCAGTCTTTTGAGCTGTCTGTATCCCAGGCCAGCAGGTTGATGTTGATTAGATATATATATATATATATATATATATCTAGATACTATAATTATATATATATTATATATATATCTATATATAATATATATATATATATAGATATATATACTAAATATACTAGAGATAGATAGATAGAATATATAATATATATATATAATATAGATGGTTTATATGTATATGTATATAGTCATATGTTAGAAATATATATATCATATATTTAGATATCTAATATAATATATCTCGGTATACTATATGTATCTATATATATATATATATATATATATCTACTATATATATATAATATTCATATATCTATGTTCATTTCTGTTTCTCTATATATATATAATATCTCTCTGTCATCTATAATATCTATATATATATAGTCAGATATTTCTATATGTTATCTCTACCTCTATAACGCATATCTATATAGTCTCTCTCCTTATATATGATAATCTCTCTCTATATCTCTCTCTCTCTTATCTATCTCATCTCTCTATTCTATCTCATCCCTCTATCTCTCTATTCATATGATTTTTTGTTCCCCTGGATTTGGGTTTTTTTTTTCTAGACTGGGCCAATTTGCCCTATAATGCTACCCTACTAGTGCACCCCTTTTATACAGGGGGGAGAACAATTTTTAACACTGCCGATTTTGCGGGTTTCCCCCCTTTTTACAAAGCATTGGAGGCGTAAATCATAGGAATTCAATGTAAGAGAGGGAATTTAAAACAAAAATTCAGAAAATCACTTGTATGATTTTTAAGTAATTAATTGATTTTTTGAAAAGAAAGGTGTTTTATCACCTACCAAACCAGTAAAAATTGGCTCTCACAAACCCGTTAGGGGGAGGGAGTTTGGGAAAGCGCGTTGTGCCAGTAACCGAAAGGGCGCTGGTTTAATCCACGAGCCCCCTAGGTGAAAATCTGTGAGTGCCCTAAGCAAGGCACAACCCCAATTGCCATCTGGATAAGAGGTCTGTAAAAGCTTAAATGTAAATGAAAAAGTTTTTTTTTAAAAGAAGCCCCCTGTTCCACTCTTTTCCTGATAAATGTCCGTTTTAAAACCCTTTGTAAGTGCACCTGTTTGAACTCGTTTTTAAGTAACGCACCCGTTTGAAAGTTTAAAAGGCATTTAAGAGGGCGTGGTGGGTTTCCAGCATGACAAGGCCCAACACAAGCCGGGCAAAAAATGAGTGGTCCCTGAAGCTTCAATCCGGGGGCCTGCCCGTTCCAGACCGAACCCCAAAAGAAAATCTTTGGAGGGAGCGAAATCCGTACGCCCAGCGACAGCCCCCCAAAAATGAAGGATTGGAGAAGGTTGTATGGAGGAGGGGCCAAAAAACCCTGCTGGGGGGTGCAAACCTGGGTTTAAAATACAGGAAACGTAGATCCTTAAATGCAAAAAAAGGTTTCTGTACCCCAAAATTTGGTTCTGCTTTTTTGATGTATCAAAAACTTAGTAGCAATTTAAAAGAAATTAAAATTAAAAAAATCAAACAATGTGATTTTGGAAAATTTTTTTTTTAGATTCCTCTCTCACAGTGAAGTGTACTATGTAAAAAAGGGGCAGCCTCTAATGCTTGTAAGTAGGAAACTGCAAAACGGGGAGTGTATCAAAAATTGTTCTCCCCCCTGATCAGATAGGCCCTTGGACCCCGCCCAAAAGTGGATTTAAATCAAATCAAATTTTTTTTGAAAATGCGCCGAATACAAAGGGACCTTGCGTAAAAAGGGGGATATAAGCCCTAACCAAAAAATGCAGTCAAGAAATAGAGATTTGAAAAATTTTAAATAAAAAAAGCAAAAAAAAAAAAAGTTACACAAAAAAAAAACAATAATGAGGATTTTATATAGGGGGGGCCGGTTTCCGAGCAATGTGCGGGGGTAAGGTTAGTCAAGGTAGTTTTACAGTTTATTAAAAGGGAAAAGGGGGCCCTTGGACACAACGTAGGTATCATTTTCCAGTGGGTATTATTTTCTAGGGGATTTTTTCATTTTACATTAGGGGGGGATTATTATCTAGGGGGTTTTTTACTAGGGGGTTTTTTGTGGGGGGGTTTTTAAACTCCGGGGATTATTAATTTATCTATTAATTTTTAAAGGGGGGGTTTTATTATAATTTTTAATGGGTATTATATTGTTTGGAATTTTTGGGGTTTTTTTTTTTTCGGGGTTTTGGGTTTGTATTATCTCCCGGGGGTTTATTATTCAGTGGGTTTAATTTTTAGGGGGGTTTTTTTACTCAGGGGTTTATACTCGGGGGTTTTTTATTAGTGGATTTATTCGGGGATTATTATTTAAAATGGGTTTATTTATTAGGGGTATATTATTATATAGTTTTTGTGGGTTTTTTTGGTTTATTTTCTAGTGGGTAATTTTTTAAGGGGGTATAAATTCGTGGGTTTATTTTTCAGGGGGGAAAAATTTTTAGGGGATTTTAAATTAGTGGGTATTATTTTTCGTGGGTTTATTTTTCATGGGTTTTTTTGGTTTATTTCTAGGGAAGGTAAAATTTTCTCTGGGACTTTATGGAAAAGGTGACCTTTTACCTAGATTTATGGTAAAGGTGACCATATCTAACATATGGAAAGGTGACCTATACTCTAGATTTTTGGTAAAGGTGACCTTTTACTTGATTTATGGGAAAGGGGGGGGGGGGCCCCTATACTCTAAAATTTAATAAAGGTGACCATTTCTAGACTTTATGGTAAAGGGGCCCTTTACCTGATATATTTTTAAAGGTGCCCTTTTACTCTAAATTTATGGAAAAGGTGACCTATCTTAGACTATATGGAAAAGGGTTTACCTATACTCTAGACTATAGGTAAAGGGGCCCTATTCTCTAGACTTTATGGGGAAAGGGGGACTTAGGCTTGACTTATGGTAAAGGGCCCCTATGTCTGATTATGGAAAAGGGGTGACCTAACCTGATTTTAGGGGTTAAAGGTGACCTAACTCTGGGACTTTTTTGGAAAAAAGGGGCCCTATGCTCAGACTTTAGGGTTTAAAGGGCCCTATACTTACTTTAGGGGAAAGGGGTGCCCTATATCTAGATTTTTAGGGGAAAAAGGTAAATTTATATCTAAAAATTTAGGGTAAAGGTAAACCTATCCCTTTAGACTTTAGGGGAAAAAGGTGACCTATACTTAGATTTTTAGGGTAAAGGGGGACCTTTACTTAAAATTTTAGGGGAAAGGTAAACCTTCCCTTAATTTTAGGGTTAAAGGTGACCTAATTAGACTTTAGGGTAAAGGGGGACCATATCTAGACTAATGGTAAAGGTGACCTTACTCTAGACTTTTAGGAAAAGGGTTTCCCTATTACTCGGGATAAGGAAAAGGTGACCTTACTGACTTTAGGGAAAAAGGTGACCTATGTCTAGATTTTAGGGTTAAAGGTTAAACCATGCTCTAGTTTTTTATGGTAAAGGTGCCCTTTATACTCTAGATTTTAGGGAAAAAAGGGGTTGAAAACTGTTTCGGCCAGGGGGATGGGGGAATTTCCCCTCTGGGGAGGGAAATTCCCCCCGCATGCCCTGTTTTCTAGTGTTTTTTGGTTTTTGGTTTTGGGTTTTGGTTATGTGGGTGGGGCATGGGTGGGGAGTTTTGGGGCGGGGTGTTTGTGGGGTTTTAAAGGTTGTGTGTTTTATTCTCGAGGGGGTTTAAAAATTAAGCCCTACCCCCAAATGTGGGGAACCCACTGTCTTTTCTGTGGGAGGGAAACGACATTGGGGGAAAAATTGAGGTAAATTGGGAAAAAATTTTGGTGAAATTGGGTCGAAAATAAGTGTGAAGGGCCCATTTTTTCTATTTAAAAAGGCCAAAACCATCGCAAACCCGAATTTTTGAATAAATTGGGAAAGAAAAAAGAAGAAATAAGTAAAAAAGGGGGGGGAAGGGAAAAAAAAAAGAAGGGGGAGGGGAAGGAAAAAAAATAAAAAAGGGGAAAAAAAAAAAAAAAAAAAAAAAAAAAAGAAAAAAAAAACAGAGAAAAAGGGGAAGAAAAAAAAAAATAAAAGGGAGGGGGGGGGAAGGGAAAGGGTAAGGGGGAGAAAAAAAAAAAGAAAAAAAAAGGGGGGGGAAAAGAAAAAAAAAAAAACAACCTAAAAAAAAAAAAGGTTCTTTCTGTTTTCTCTTTATTAAAATATCTTTTGTCTCTTTTCTTTTTTATAAATATTTCTTTGTTTCCTCTATCTATCCTATCTATTTCTTTTCTCCTTTTATTTCTTCCTTTCCCTCTCCTCTTTCTTCTCATCTCTCTTTTCCCTTCTAATCCCTCTTCTCTCTTTCATATGTTTTTTTTTTTCCCCGGGAAAGTGTGTATATTTTTCTCAGGAGGGGGCCAATTGCCCTTTTACTTTGCAAATCCCTAAAAATAGTGAAACTCCTTTTCCCAGTGGGGAAACAATATTGAACACTCCCGGGACTTTGCGGGTTTTCCTACTTACAAAGCATGTGGAGGTCTGTAATTTATCATAGGTACACTTCAACTGTAAGAGACGGAATCTAAAACAAAAATTCAGAAAATCACATTGTATGATTTTTAAGTAATTAATTTGCATTTTATTGCATGACATGAGTGTTTGATCACCTACCAACCAGTAAGAATTCCGGCTCTCACAGACCTGTTAGGGCGGCAGGTAGCTTAGTGGGTAAGCGCGTTGTGCCAGTAACCGAAAGGTCGCTGGTTCTAATCCACGAGCCGACTAGGTGAAAAATCTGTCGATGTGCCCTTAAGCAAGGCACTTAACCCTAATTGCTCATCTGGATAAGAGTGTCTGCTAAATGACTAAAATGTAAATGTAAAATGTTTTTCTTTAAGAAGCCCTCCTGTTCTCCACTCATTACCTGTATTAACTGTACCTGTTTGAACTCGTTAAGTTAAGTGCACCTGTTTGAACTCGTTAAGTTAACTGCACCTGTTTGAACTTGTTAAGAGCATTGAAGATGGGTCGTGGCTGGGTCTTCCAGCATGACAACGACCCGAAACACACAGCCAGGGCAACTAATGAGTGGCTCCGTAAGAAGCATCTCAAGGTCCTGGAGTGGCCTAGCCAGTCTCCAGACCTGAACCCAATAGAAAATCTTTGGAGGGAGCTGAAAGTCCGTATCGCCCAGCGACAGCCCCGAAACCTGAAGGATCTGGAGAAGGTCTGTATGGAGGAGTGGGCCAAAATCCCTGCTGCAGTGTGTGCAAACCTGGTTAAGACCTACAGGAAACGTATGATCTCTGTAATTGCAAACAAAGGTTTCTGTACCAAATATTAGGTTCTGCTTTTCTGATGTATCAAATACTTATGTCATGCAATAAAATGCAAATTAATTACTTAAAAATCATACAATGTGATTTTCTGGATTTTTGTTTTAGATTCCGTCTCTCACAGTTGAAGTGTACCTATGATAAAAATGACAGACCTCTACATGCTTTGTAAGTAGGAACACCTGCAAAATCGGCAGTGTATCAAATACTTGTTCTCCCCACTGTATCTAGTATAGAGCCCTATGGACCCTGCTCAAAAGTAGTGCATTTAAATCAAATCAAATTTATTTGACACATGCGCCGAATACAACAGGTGTACCTTGCCGTGAAATGCTTACTTATAAGCCCTTAACCAACAATGCAGTTCAAGAAATAGAGATTAGAAAATATTTACTAAATAAAATAAAGTCAAAAATAAAATAAAATGTTACACAATAAAATAACAATAATGAGGATATATATACGGGGGGTACCGGTACCGAGTCAATGTGCGGGGGTACAGGTTAGTCAAGGTAGTTTGTACATGTATTATTTAATAGGGAATAGGGGGCCATTTAGGACACAACGTCAGGTATCATTATCTCAGTGGGTATTATTATCTCAGTGGGTATTATTATCTCAGTGGGTATTACTATCTCAGTGGGTATTATTATCTCAGTGGGTATTATTATCTCAGGTGGTATTATTATCTCAGTGGGTATTATTATCTCAGGTGGTATTATTATCTCAGTGGGTATTATTATCTCAGTGGGTATTATTATCTCAGTGGGTATTATTATCTCAGTGGGTATTATTATCTCAGTTGGTATTACTATCTCAGGTGGTATTATTATCTCAGTGGGTATTATTATCTCAGGTGGTATTATTATCTCAGGTGGTATTATTATCTCAGTGGGTATTACTATCTCAGGTGGTATTATTATCTCAGTGGGTATTACTATCTCAGGTGGTATTATTATCTCAGGTGGTATTATTATCTCAGTGGGTATTATTATCTCAGTGGGTATTATTATCTCAGTGGGTATTATTATCTCAGTGGGTAGTATTATCTCAGTGGGTATTATTATCTCAAGTGGTATTATTATCTCAGTGGGTATTATTATCTCAGGTGGTATTATTATCTCAGTGGGTATTATTATCTCAGGTGGTATTATTATCTCAGTGGGTATTATTATCTGAGTGGGTATTATTATCTCAGTGGGTATTATTATCTCAGTGGGTATTACTATCTCAGGTGGTATTATTATCTCAGTGGGTATTATTATCTCAGGTGGTATTATTATCTGAGTGGGTATTATTATCTCAGTAGGTATTACTATCTCAGTAGGTATTATTATCTCAGTGGGTATTATTATCTCCGTAGGTATTATTATCTCAGTGGGTATTATTATCTCAGTGGGTATTATTATCTCAGTGGGTATTATTATCTCAGTATGTATTATTATCTGAGTGGGTATTATTATCTCAGTAGGTATTACTATCTCAGTAGGTATTATTATCTCAGTGGGTATTATTATCTCAGTAGGTATTATTATCTCAGTGGGTATTATTATCTCAGTGGTATTACATCTCAGTGGGTATTATTATCTCAGTGGGTATTATTATCTCAGTGGCTATTACTATCTCAGTGGGTATTATTATCTCAGTGGGTATTATTATCTCAGTGGGTATTATTATCTCAGGTGGTATTATTATCTGAGTGGGTATTATTATCTCAGTAGGTATTACTATCTCAGTAGGTATTATTATCTCAGTGGGTATTATTATCTCAGTAGGTATTATTATCTCAGTGGGTATTATTATCTCAGTGGGTATTACTATCTCAGTGGGTATTATTATCTCAGTGGGAATTACTATCTCAGTGGGTATTATTATCTCAGTAGGTGTTATTATCTGAGTGGGTATTATTATCTCAGTAGGTATTACTATCTCAGTAGGTATTATTATCTCAGTGGGTATTATTATCTCAGTAGGTATTATTATCTCAGTGGGTATTATTATCTCAGTGGGTATTACTATCTCAGTGGGTATTATTATCTCAGTGGGTATTATTATCTCAGTGGCTATTACTATCTCAGTGGGTATTATTATCTCAGTGGGTATTATTATCTCAGTGGGTATTATTATCTCAGTATGTATTATTATCTGAGTGGGTATTATTATCTCAGTAGGTATTACTATCTCAGTAGGTATTATTATCTCAGTGGGTATTATTATCTCAGTAGGTATTATTATCTCAGTGGGTATTATTATCTCAGTGGGTATTACTATCTCAGTGGGTATTATTATCTCAGTGGGAATTACTATCTCAGTGGGTATTATTATCTCAGTAGGTGCTATTATCTCAGTGGGTATTATTATCTCAGTGGGTATTACTATCTCAGTGGGTATTATTATCTCAGGTGGTATTATTATCTCAGGTGGTATTATTATCTCAGTGGGTATTATTATCTCAGTGGGTATTATTATCTCAGTGGGTAATATTATCTCAGTGGGTATTATTATCTCAAGTGGTATTATTATCTCAGTGGGTATTATTATCTCAGGTGGTATTATTATCTCAGTGGGTATTATTATCTCAGGTGGTATTATTATCTCAGTGGGTATTATTATCTGAGTGGGTATTATTATCTCAGTGGGTATTATTATCTCAGTGGGTATTACTATCTCAGGTGGTATTATTATCTCAGTGGGTATTATTATCTCAGGTGGTATTATTATCTGAGTGGGTATTATTATCTCAGTAGGTATTACTATCTCAGTAGGTATTATTATCTCAGTGGGTATTATTATCTCAGTAGGTATTATTATCTCAGTGGGTATTATTATCTCAGTGGGTATTATTATCTCAGTGGGTATTATTATCTCAGTATGTATTATTATCTGAGTGGGTATTATTATCTCAGTAGGTATTACTATCTCAGTAGGTATTATTATCTCAGTGGGTATTATTATCTCAGTAGGTATTATTATCTCAGTGGGTATTATTATCTCAGTGGGTATTACTATCTCAGTGGGTATTATTATCTCAGTGGCTATTACTATCTCAGTGGGTATTATTATCTCAGTGGGTATTATTATCTCAGTGGGTATTATTATCTCAGTATGTATTATTATCTGAGTGGGTATTATTATCTCAGTAGGTATTACTATCTCAGTAGGTATTATTATCTCAGTGGGTATTATTATCTCAGTAGGTATTATTATCTCAGTGGGTATTATATATTATCTCAGTGGGTATTACTATCTCAGTGGGTATTATTATCTCAGTGGGAATTACTATCTCAGTGGGTATTATTATCTCAGTAGGTGTTATTATCTCAGTGGGTATTATTATCTCAGTGGGTATTACTATCTCAGTGGGTATTATTATCTCAGTGGGTATTACTATCTCAGTGGGTATTATTATCTCAGTAGGTATTATTATCTCAGTGGGTATTATTATCTCAGTGGGTATTATTATCTCAGGTGGTATTATTATCTCAGTGGGTATTATTATCTCAGTGGGTATTATTATCTCAGTGGGTATTATTATCTCAGGTGGTATTATTATCTCAGTGGGTATTATTATCTCAGTAGGTATTATTATCTCAGTGGGTATTATTATCTCAGTAGGTATTATTATCTCAGTGGGTATTATTATCTCAGTAGGTATTATTATCTCAGTGGGTATTATTATCTCAGTGGGTATTATTATCTCAGTGGGTATTATTATCTCAGTATGTATTATTATCTGAGTGGGTATTATTATCTCAGTAGGTATTACTATCTCAGTAGGTATTATTATCTCAGTGGGTATTATTATCTCAGTAGGTATTATTATCTCAGTGGGTATTATTATCTCAGTGGGTATTACTATCTCAGTGGGTATTATTATCTCAGTGGGTATTATTATCTCAGTGGCTATTATTATCTCAGTGGGTATTATTATCTCAGTAGGTATTATTATCTCAGTGGGTATTATTATCTCAGAAGGTATTATTATCTCAGTGGGTATTATTATCTCAGTGGGTATTATTATCTCATTGGGTATTATTATCTCAGTAGGTATTAGTGCCATATTATCAGAGTGCAGAGTGAAGAAAATAATGAAAATGAAAATTATGGACGGTGCTCCGCGCTCGTGACCGTGCATCTGCTCTCTCGGTGTGGAAGTCCTTCACAGTAGCAACATTTCCCTCCCCCCTAGCCCCATCTCTGTGTTTGTATCTCTGGTGAGTGTGTATCTCTGGTGTGTGTGTATCTCTGGTGTGTGTGTGTGTGTGTGTGTGTGTGTATATATCTCTGGTGTGTGTGTATCTCTGGTGTGTGTGTATCTCTGGTGTGTGTGTGTGTGTGTGTGTGTGTGTGTGTGTATCTAATCTGGTGTGTGTGTATCTAATCTGATGTGTGTGTGTATCTAATCTGGTGTGTGTGTGTGTATCTAATCTGGTGTGTGTGTGTGTGTGTATCTAATCTGGTGTGTGTGTATCTAATCTGATGTGTGTGTGTATCTCTGGTGTGTGTGTGTGTGTGTATCTCTGGTGTGTGTGTGCATGTGTATCTCTGGTGTGTGTGTGTATCTCTGGTTTGTGTGCGTGTCCCATTCCACCACATCTGTAGTGAATGGCAGCCAGATATGAGCTGGTGAAACTGTACTGGCGACCCACAATGCAGGCCTGGAAAGAACACATCTCTCTCTCTCTCTCTCTCTCTCTCTCTCTCTCTCTCTCTCTCTCTCTCTCTCTCTCTCGCTCTCTCTCTCTCTCTCTCTCTCTCTGGAGGAGAGCAGGCCAGTTATCAGCTGTAGGGATGGAACGCTTGAAATCACCAAATTCATTTAATTTCATAACCATATGTTTTTTTGCGATTGTGTGAGTGTGTGGGTTGGTCTGTGAGGTAATGTGTGTGTATGCGCGTGGGCAGGTGTGTGTGTGTCTGTGTGTATGTGTGTGTATGTATGTATGCGTGTGTGTTTGTGTGTGTGTCCATGTGTGTCCCCGTGTGTATGTGGTGTCTTTGCCGCCTGGTGTTTCGCTTCCTCTCTGCCCATTGGCAGTGCAGGGGAACAGATTGTTATTATTACTGTCCTGGCTTTGATAATGCAGCGTTTGTAGCATGTATTTTAATCACAGGACAGCAGAGCAGCCTTTCTACTTCACAGAGTCCCACAGTACATCACATGACGGTCAGTGTGAATGGGGCCCTGCTTCCCTGCACATCTCTAGACCAGGACTGTATCCCAAATGGCACCTGATCTTCTACATCAGGGGTAGCCACTGGCCGATTTCCGTCGGAGCGGATGGTCAGGGGGCCGGAACATAATAATTTGTAGACTGTAAATTGACCACAACTAAGCCCAAAAAATAGATTGTATTTGAAAATAACAATAATTTCATACCTTGATTGCATTGAGACACGATCACATACAGTGAGGGAAAAAAGTATTTGATCCCCTGCTGATTTTGTACGTTTGCCCACTGACAAAGAAATGATCAGTCTATAATTTTAATGGTAGGTTTATTTGAACAGTGAGAGACAGAATAACAACAAAAACATCCAGAAAAACGCATGTCAAAAATGTTATAATTTGATTTGCATTTTAATGAGGGAAATAAGTATTTGACCCCCTCTCAATCAGAAAGATTTCTGGCTCCCAGGTGTCTTTTCTACAGGTAACGAGCTGAGATTAGGAGCACACTCTTAAAGGGAGTGCTCCTAATCTCAGCTTGTTACCTGTATAAAAGACACCTGTCCACAGAAGCAATCAATCAATCAGATTCCAAACTCTCCACCATGGCCAAGACCAAAGAGCTCTCCAAGGATGTCAGGGACAAGATTGTAGACCTACACAAGGCTGGAATGGGCTACAAGACCATCGCCAAGCAGCTTGGTGAGAAGGTGACAACAGTTGGTGCGATTATTCGCAAATGGAAGAAACACAAAATAACTGTCAATCTCCCTCGGCCTGGGGCTCCATGCAAGATCTCACCTCGTGGAGTTGCAATGATCATGAGAACGGTGAGGAATCAGCCCAGAACTACACGGGAGGATCTTGTCAATGATCTCAAGGCAGCTGGGACCATAGTCACCAAGAAAACAATTGGTAACACACTGCGCCGTGAAGGACTGAAATCCTGCAGCGCCCGCAAGGTCCCCCTGCTCAAGAAAGCACATATAAAGGCCCGTCTGAAGTTTGCCAATGAACATCTGAATGATTCAGAGGAGAACTGGGTGAAAGTGTTGTGGTCAGATGAGACCAAAATGGAGCTCTTTGGCATCAACTCAACTCGCCGTGTTTGGAGGAGGAGGAATGCTGCCTATGACCCCAAGAACACCATCCCCACCGTCAAACATGGAGGTGGAAACATTATGATTTGGGGGTGTTTTTCTGCTAAGGGGACAGGACAACTTCACCGCATTAAACGGATGATGGACAGGGCCATGTACCGTCAAATCTTGGGTGAGAACCTCCTTCCCTCAGCCAGGGCATTGAAAATGGGTCGTGGATGGGTATTCCAGCATGACAATGACCCAAAACACACGGCCAAGGCAACAAAGGAGTGACTCAAGAAGAAGCACATTAAGGTCCTGGAGTGGCCTAGCCAGTCTCCAGACCTTAATCCCATAGAAAATCTGTGGAGGGAGCTGAAGGTTCGAGTTGCCAAACGTCAGCCTCAAAACATTAATGACTTGGAGAAGATCTGCAAAGAGGAGTGGGACAAAATCCCTCCTGAGATGTGTGCAAACCTGGTGGCCAACTACAAGAAACATCTGACCTCTGTGATTGCCAACAACGGTTTTGCCACCAAGTACTAAGTCATGTTTTGCAGAGGGGTCAAATACTTATTTCCCTCATTAAAATGCAAATCAATTTATAAAAAATTTTACATGCGTTTTTCTGGATTTTTTGTTGTTATTCTGTCTCTCACTGTTCAAATTAACCTACCATTAAAATTATAGACTGATCATTTCTTTGTCAGTGGGCAAGCGTAGAAAATCAGCAGGGGATCAAATACTTTTTTCCCTCACTGTATGTCTCTAACCGACCCCTGTCCCAGAGCCCAATGGCACCTGATGAAGAATGGCGCCGGAGGGGATGGCTGCCGTTTTACGGGCTCCTAACCAATTGTGCTATTTTGTTAGTTTTTTCGCATTGTTTGTAACTTATTTTGAACATAATGTTGATGCTACTGTCTCTTATGACCGAGCTTCTGGAATGCGATTACTCACCTTGGACTGGACAAAGATTTTTCTTTAACGATTCTAACGCGAAGGATTTAATGTAGCTCCCGGACAAGGCCCAAATCCCAGTCATTCGCATGAAGAAAATAATTATATACAGGGGTCGCAGATGAGAATTCGTCGGCGATTTGGTAACCCGCCTCTGCCATCCGTTCTATTGGCCAACGTGCAATCACTGGAGAATAAACTGGATGAGCTCCGTTCGAGCCTACCCTACCAACAGAGTCGTGGCTGAACGACGACATGGATAATATACAGTTGGCTGATTTGCTGTGCATCGGCAGGACAGAACAGCTATGTCCGGTAAAACGAGGGGTGGGGGTGTGTGTCTATCTGTCAATAACAGCTGGTGCGCGATGTCTAATATTAAGGTAGTCTTGAGGTATTGTTCGCTTGAGGTAGAGTACCACATGATAAGCTGTAGACCACACTATCTACCAAGTTTTCATCTATATTTTTCGTAGCCGTCTATTTACCACCACAAACCGACGCTGGCACTAAGACTGTACTTAACGAGCTGTATAAGGCCATAAGCAAACAAGAGAATGCTCATCCAGAAGCGGTGCTCCTAGTGGCCGGGGACTTTAATGCAGGCAAACTTAAATCAGTTTTTCCTAATTTATACCAGCATGTCACATGTGCAATCAGAGGAAAAAAATAACTCTAGACCACCTTTACTCCACACACAGAGACGCGTAGAAAGCTCTCCCTCGCCCTCCATTTGGCAAATCTGACCATAATTATATCCTCCTGATTCCTGCTTACAAGCAAAAACTAAAGCAGTACCAGTGACTCGCTCAATACGGAAGTGGTCAGATGATGCGAATGCTATGCTACAGGACTGTTTTGCCAGCACAGACTGGAATATGTTCCGGGATTCATCCAATGGCATTTAGGAGTATACCACCTCAGTCACCGGCTTCATCAATAAGTGCATCGACGACGTCGTCCCCACAGTGACCATACGTACAAATCCCAACCAGAAGCCATGGATTACAGGCAACATCCACACAGAGCGAAAGGCTAGAGCTGCCACTTTCAAGGAGCGGGACACTAATCTGGACGCTTATAAGAAATCCCGCTATGCCCTCAGATGAACCATCAAAGAGGCAAAGCTTCAATACAGGACTAAGATTGAATCCTACTACACCGACTCTGACGCTTGTCGGATGTGGCAGGGCTTGCAAACTATTAAGGACTACAGGGAAACCCAACCGCCAGCTGCCCAGTGACGCGACCCTACCAGACGGGCTAAATTACTTTTATGCTTGCTTCGAGGCAAGCAACACTGAAGCATGCATGAGAGCACCAGCGGTCCCGGACGACATAGCTAATGTGAGCAAGACCTTTAAACAGGTCAACATTCAGACGGATTACCAGGACGTGTACTCAGAGCATGCGCGGACCAACTGGCAAGTGTCTTCACTGACATTTTCAACCTCTCCCTTACCCGAGTCTGTAATACCTACATGTTTCAAGCAGACCATCATAGTCCCTGTACCCAAGAAAGCGAAGGTAACCTGCCTAAATGACTACCGCCCCGTAGCACTCACGTCGGTAGCCATGAAGTGCTTTGAAAGGCTGGTCATGGCTCACATCAACACCATCATCCCGGAAACTCTAGACCCACTCCAATTCGCATACCGCCCCAACAGATCCACAGATGACGCAATCTCAATCGCACTCCACACTGCCCTATCCCACCTGGACAAAAGAAACACCTATGTGAGAATGCTGTTCATTGACTACGGCTCAGCGTTCAACACAATAGTGCCCACAAAGCTCATCACTAAGCTAAGGACCCTGGGACTAAACACCTCCCTCTAAAACTGGATCCTGGACTGCCCCCAGGTGGTAAGGGTAAGCAACAACACATCTGCCACGCTGATCCTCAACACGGGGGCCCCTCAGGGGTGCGTGCTTAGTCCTTTCCTGTACTCCCTGTTCACCCATGACTGCGTGGCCAAGCACGACTCCAACACCATCATTAAGTTTGCTGACAACACAACGGTGGTAGGCCTGATCACCAACAACGATAAGACAGCTTATAGGGAGGAGGTCAGAGACCTGGTAGTGTGGTGCCAGGACAAGAACCTCTCCCTCAACGTGAGCAAGACAAAGGAGTTGATCGTGGACTACAGGAAAAGGAGGGCCAAACACGCCCCCATTCACATCAATGGGGCTTTAGTGGAGCAGGTTGAGAGTTTCAAGTTCCTTGGTGTCTACATCACCAACAAACTATCATAAGTTCCTTTCCTGAGGATGGCTCACCCCTCACAGTTCTGGGTGACTTCAACCTCCCTACGTCTACCTTTGACTAATTTCTCTCTGCCTCCTTCTTTCCACTCCTCTCCTCTTTTGACCTCACCCTCTCACCGTCCCCCCCTACTCACAAGGCAGGCAATACGCTTGACCTCATCTTTACTAAATGCTGTTCTTCTACTAATCTCACTGCAACTCCCCTCCATGTCTCCGACCACTACTTTGTATCCTTTTCTCTCTCGCTCTCCTCCAACACTACTCACTCTGCCCCTACTCAGATGGTAATGCGCCGTCGCAACCATCGCTCTCTCTCTCCCGTTACTCTCTCCTCTTCCATCCTATCATCTCTTCCCTCTGCTCAAGCCTTCTCCCTCCAATCTCCTGATTCTGCCTCCTCAACCCTCCTCTCCTCCCTTTCTGCATCCTTTGACTCTCTATGTCCCCTATCCTCCCGGCCGGCTCGGTCCTCCCCTCCTACTCCGTGGCTTGACGACTCATTGCGAGCTCACAGAACAGGGCTCCGGGCAGCCAAGCGGAAATGGAGGAAAACTAGACTCCCTGCGGACCTGGAATATTTTCACTCCCTCCTCTCTACATTTTCTTAATCTGTTTCTGCTGCTAAAGCCACTTTCTACCACTCTAAATTCCAAGCATCTGCATCTAACCCTAGGAAGCTCTTTGCCACCTTCTCCTCCCTGCTGAATCCCCCCCCCCCCCCCCCTCCTCCCTCTCTGTGGATGACTTCGTCAACCATTTTGAAAAGAAGGTTGACGACATCCGATCCTCGTTTGTTAAGTCAAATGACACTGCTGGTCCTGCTCACACTGCCCTACCCCATGCTTTGACTTCTTTCTCCCCTCTCTCTCCAGATGAAATCTTGCGACTTGTGATGGCTGGCCGCCCAACAACCTGCCCGCTTGACCCTATCCCCTCCTCCCTTCTCCAGACCATCTCCGGTGACCTTCTCCCTTACCTCACCTCGCTCATCAACTCATCCTTGACCGCTGGCTATGTCCCTTCCATCTTCAAGAGAGCGAGAGTTGCACTCCTTCTCAAAAAACCAACACTCGATCACTCCGATGTCAACAACTACAGACCAGTATCCCTTCTTTCTTTTCTTTCCAAAACTCTTGAGCGTGCCGTCTTTAGCCAACTCTCTTGCTATCTCTCTCAGAATTACCTTCTTGATCCAAACCAGTCAGGTTTCAAGACTGGTCATTCAACTGAGACTGCTCTTCTCTGTGTCACGGAGGCTCTCCACACTGCTAAAGCTAACTCTCTCTCCTCTGCTCTTGTCCTTCTAGACCTGTCTGCTGCCTTTGATACTGTGAACCATCAGATCCTCCTCTACACCCTCTCCGAGTTGGGCATCTCCGGCGCGGCTCACTCTTGGATTGCGTCCTACCTGACCGGTCGCTCCTACCAAGTGGCGTGGCGAGAATCTGTCTCCGCACCATGTGCTCTCACCACTGGTGTCCCCCAGGGCTCAGTTCTAGGCCCTCTCCTATTCTCGCTATACACCAAGTCACTTGGCTCTGTCATATCCTCACATGGCCTCTCCTATCATTGCTACGCAGACGACACACAACTAATCTTCTCCTTTCCCCCTTCTGATAACCAGGTGGCGAAACGCATCTCTGCATGTCTGGCAGACATATCAGTGTGGATGACGGATCACCACCTCAAGCTGAACCTCGGCAAGACGGAGCTGCTCTTCCTCCCGGGGAAGGACTGCCCGTTCCATGATCTCGCCATCACGGTTGACAACTCCGTTGTGTCCTCCTCCCAGAGTGCAAAGAGCCTTGGCATGACCCTGGACAACACCCTGTCGTTCTCCGCTAACATCAAGGCGGTGACCCGATCCTGTAGGTTCATGCTCTACAACATTCGGAGAGTACGACCCTGCCTTACACAGGAAGCGGCACAGGTCCTAATCCAGGCACTTGTCATCTCCCGTCTGGATTACTGCAACTCGCTGTTGGCTGGGCTCCCTGCCTGTGCCATTAAACCCCTACAACTCATCCAGAATGCCGCAGCCCGTCTGGTGTTCAACCTTCCCAAGTTCTCTCACGTCACCCCGCTCCTCCGCACACTCCACTGGCTTCCAGTTGAAGCTTGCATCTGCTACAAGACCATGGTGCTTGCCTACGGAGCTGTGAGGGGAACGGCACCTCCGTACCTTCAGGCTCTGATCAGTCCCTACACCCAAACGAGGGCATTGCGTTCATCCACCTCTGGCCTGCTGGCCCCCCTACCTCTGCGGAAGCACAGTTCCCGCTCAGCCCAGTCAAAACTGTTCGCTGCTCTGGCACCCCAATGGTGGAACAAGCTCCCTCACGACGCCAGGACAGCGGAGTCACTCACCACCTTCCGGAGACACTTGAAACCCCACCTCTTTAAGGAATACCTGGGATAGGATAAAGTAATCCTTCTACCCCCCCTTACCCCACCCCAAAGAAAGAAAAAAATAACATATTGTAAAGTGGTTATCCCACTGGCTATAAGGTGAATGCACCAATTTGTAAGTCGCTCTGGATAAGAGCGTCTGCTAAATGACGTAAATGTAAAATGTAATGGTCCAAACACACCAAAAAGTCATGAAGAGGGCACGACAACGCCTTTGCCCCCTCAGGAGACTGAAAAGATTTGGCATGAGTCTCCAGATCCTCAAAAAGTTCTACAACTGCACCATCGAAAGCATCCTGACCGGTTGCATCACCGCCTGGTATGGCAACTGCTCGGCATCCGACCGTAAGGCGCTACAGAGGGTAGTGCGTTTGGCCCAGTACATCACTGGGGCCAAGCTTTCTGCCATCCAGGACCTATATACTAGGCGGTGTCAGAGGAAGGCCCAAAGAAATGTCAAAGACTCCAGTCACCCAAGTCATAGACTTTTCTCCCTGCTACCGTACGGCAAGCGGTACCGGAGCGCCAAGTCTAGGTCCAAAAGGCTCCTTAACAGCTTCTATCCCCAAGCCATAAGACTGCTCAACAATTAATCAAATGGCCACCCGGAGTATTGTATATACACCCCTGTATATAGCCTCATTATTCATATTTTATTGTGTTATTATTATTATTATTTTTCATACTTTAGTTTAGTAAGTACTTTCTTAACTCTATTTTCTTAAAACTGCATTGGTGGTTAAGGGCTTGTAAGTTATCATTTCACGGTAAGGTCTACACCTGTTGTATTTGACGCATGTGACAAATAAAATTGGGTTTGAAATATGATTTGATTTGATTCCCTACACGGTGCACTACTGCTACACTATATAGGGAATAGGATGCATATCAAGAGTTGACAGTCAGTACTGTCCAGAGATGACCAGTAGAGAAAGCAATTGTACTTTTGTTTACCAAAGACAGCTCTCTCTCTCGCTCTCTATTCTTCTCCTCTATATCTCTCTCTCTCTATCTGACTATCTCTATAGAATTCTATATGGACTAAATTTATCTTATATCTGAGTCTATCTCTATATCTATACTATCTCTATCTCTCTCTCTCTCTATCTCTCTCTATCATCTATTCTATCTCTATATATCTCTATATCTCTCTTATCTCTCGTCTCTATCTCTCTGACTCTATCTCTCTGACTATTCTCTAATTGCCTCACCTTTCTCTCTCTCTGAGTCTCTCTCTCTCTCTCTCTCTCTCTCTCTCCCTCTCTCTCTCTCTCTCTCTCTCTGAATCTCTCTCATTGCCTCACTTTCTTCTCTCTCTCTCTCTCTCTCTCTCTCTCTCTCTCTCTCTCTCTCTCTCTCTCTGACTCTCTCTCTGAGTCTCTCTCTCTCTCTCTCTCTCTCTGAGTCTCTCTCTCTCTCTCTCTCTCTCTCTCTCTTGCTCTCTTTACCTCTCTCTGAAAATTACAGCATACTGCATTCTTTTTATTAGGATTTGCCGGGGTTAGTTAGTGCCGGGGTTATTTGTCAAAGGCTGCATCCCAAATAACACCCTATTCCCTATTTAGTGCACTACTTTTGACCAGAATTAAATTACAGTCATTTTCAATGAATGTGGGGAGGCAGAGAATTCCTACATGTCAATAGGTAGCTACCTTCTTCTTAATCAAAATCAACTGATGCTTCACATTAATGTCTATGGCAGAGGGGGAGGAGGAGGAAGAGGAGGAGGAGGAGGAGGGGGAGGAGGGAGGAAGAGGAGGAATGAGCGGAGGAGGGGAAAGAGGAGGAGGAGGAGGATGAGGGGGGGGAGAAGGATGAGGAGGACGGACGGCGTGCGGAGGATGGGAAGAGGAGGAGGCGGAGGAGGGGGAAAGAGGAGGAGTAGGCAGGGGGGGAAGAGGAGGAGGAGGCGCAGGGGGGGGACGAAGGAGGAGGAGGAGGAGGGGTGCGGAGGGAGAAGAGGAGGAGGGGGGGGGATGCGGGGGGGGGGAGAAGGAAGGAGGAGGGGGTGAGGGAGGAGGAAGAGGAAGGAGGGGGAGGGGGGAGAAGGAGGATGGAGCAGGAGGAGAAATAGGTAATTCCAAGGCCAGAAGAGGCTCACATTAGGGACCTATGTCCCAAATGGCACCATATTCCCTATACAGTGAACTACTTTTGACCAGAGCCCTATGGGTCCCCTATGGGCCATGGTTAAAAGTAGTGCACTACATAGGGAATATGGTGCCATTTGGAATGTACCACTGTTAAGAGGCCTTCAATCATCCATTAAATTAGCCTTTTTATGATTTATATTTCCTGTCCTAGGTAGAGAGGGTAGAGTGGATGGGGGAGATGGTAGAGGGATGGAGCCGTAGGGATGGGATGGTCGAGGAGGGGGTAGGAGAGGAGAGGGATGGAAGAGGAGAGGGAGGGGGTAGAGGGAGGAGGAGGATGGAGAGGTAGAGGGAGGAGAGGGATGGAGAGGAGAGAGGAGGTAGAGGGTAGAGGGATGGAGAGGGATGGAGAGGTAGAGGGTAGAGGGATGGGAGGAGGAGGGTAGGGGATGGGAGTAGAGGGATGGAGAGAGGGAAGGGATGGAGAGGGATGAGAGGGATGTAGAGGATGAAGAGTAGAGGATGGAGAGGTAGAGGGATGGAGAGTAGGGGATGAGAGGGTGGAGAGAGAGGATGGAGAGGTAGAGGATGGAGAGGGGATGGAGAGGTAGAGGATGGAGAGGAGGAGGGAAGGAGGAGGGTAGAGGGATGGAGAGGGATGGAGAGGTAGAGGGAGGAGAGAGGATGGAGAGGTAGAGGGATGGAGAGGTAGAGGGATGGAGAGGTAGAGGGATGGAGAGGGAGGTAGAGGGTAGGGATGGAGAGGTAGAGGGTAGAGGGATGGAGAGGTAGAGGGATGGAGAGGTAGAGGGAAGGGATGGAGGGAGAGGGATGGAGAGGGATGGAGAGGTAGAGGGAGGGAGAGGGATGGAGAGTAGGGTAGAGGGGGAGAGGTGGGATGGAGAGGTAGAGGGATGGAGAGGGATGGAGAGTAGAGGGGGAGTAGTAGAGGGGAGGGAGGGAGAGGAGGGGGATGGAGAGGGAGGGAGAGGGAGAGGGATGGTAGAGGGATGGAGAGGTAGAGGGATGGAAGGTAGAGGATGGAGGTAGAGGTAGAGGGATGGAGAGGGATGGAGAGGTAGAGGTAGAGGGATGGAGAGGGTGGGGAGGGAGAGTAGAGAGGTGAGAGGGATGGAGAGGTAGGGTAGAGGGATGGAGAGGGAGTAGAGGGATGGAGAGGGTAGAGGGATGGAGAGGTAGAGGGATGGAGGAGGGAGGAGAGGTGAGGGTAGAGGGATGGAGAGGGTGGAGAGGGATGGAGAGGTAGAGGGATGGAGAGGGGATAGAGGGATGGAGAGGGATGGAGAGGGATGGAGAGGGAGAGGTAGAGGGATGGAGAGGTAGAGGGATGGAGAGGGATGGAGAGGTAGAGGGATGGAGAGGGAGGAGGATGGAGAGTATGGAGAGGGTAGAGGGATGGAGAGGGATGGAGAGGTAGGATGAGAGGATGGAGAGGATGGAGAGGTAGAGGGATGGAGAGGTAGAGGGTAGAGTGGAGAGGATGGTAGAGGTGAGGAGATGGGAGAGAGGTAGAGGGATGGAGAGGGGGTAGAGGGATGGGGTAGAGAGAGTAGAGGATGGTAGAGGGAGATAGAGGGTAGAGGGATGGGAGGATGGAGAGGGATGGAGAGGGGGTAGAGGTAAGATGGAGAGTTAGAGGGATGGGAGGGGAGGAGAGGGATGGAGAGGTAGAGGGAGTAGAGGTAGAGGGTAGAGGGATGGAGAGAGAGGTAGAGGGATGGAGAGGGAGGAGAGTGAGAGGTAGAGGGATGGAGAGGGATGGAGGTAGGGGTAGGAGAGGATGGAGAGGGTAGAGGGATGGAGAGGGAGGAGAGGGAGAGAGGGTGAGAGGGAGAGGGGATGGAGAGGTAGAGAGGGTAGGAGAGGTAGAGGGAGGAGGGTGAGGTAGAGGAGATAGGATGGTATAGAGATGGGAGGGTAGGAGAGGTAGAGAGGTAGAGGGATGAGAGGTAGAGGGTGAGGAGGAGGTAGAGGGTGGAGAGGGTAGAGGGATGGGAGAGGATGGAGAGAGGGATGGAGAGGGTAGAGGAGGTAGAGAGGGGGTAGAGAGGGTATGGAGAGGTAGAGGGGTGGAGAGGTAGAGAGGTGGAGAGGGTGGAGAGGTAGAGGGAGGAGAGTAGAGGGATGGAGGAGGAGAAGAGGGGTAGAGAGGTAGAGGGTAGGGTGTGAGAGGGTAGAGGGTTAGAGGTAGAGGTGGAGAGGTGAGGGAGGGAGGAGAGGGTAGGGGTAGAGAGGGGAGGATGGGGTAGAGGGTAGAGAGGTAGGAGGGGGGTAGAGAGTAGAGGGAGGAGGGGGTAGAGAGGTAGGAGGGGGTTAGAGGATGGGTAGAGGAGGGGGTAGAGAGGGGTAGAGGGTAGAGGGGTAGAGGGGGGAGAGGGGTAGAGAGGTAGAGGGGTGGAGGGGTAGAGAGGAGGAGGGGTGGAGAGAGGTAAGAGGGTGAGGGGTAGTAGAGTAGGTGAGGAGGTGAGGGGGTAAAGGTAGAGGGGAGAGGGGTAGGTAGAGAGGGGTAGAGGGTTAGAGAGGTAGAGAGGTGAGAGGGTAGAGAGGAGGAGGGGTAGAGAGGGTTAGAGGGTGGTAGGGGGGTGGTAGGGGTAGAGGGTAGGGGTAGAGGTAGGGGGTAGAGAGGTAGAGGGTGGAGGGGTAGAGAGGTAGAGGGGGGTGAGAGGAGGGTAGGGGTAGAGGGTAGAGAGGGTAGGAGGAGGGGTTAGAGGAGAGGGTAGAGAGGTAGAGAGGGAGGGTGGTAGAGAGGTAGAGAGGTGGAGGGGTAGAGGGGTGAGGGGTGGAGGGGTGAGTGGTGATAGGGGGAGGTAGAGAGGAGGCGGGGGTAGAGAGGTAGAGAGGTAGAGAGGGTGGTAGAGAGGTAGAGAGGGGGGGAGGGGTAGAGAGGTAGGAGGGTAGAGGGGTAGAGGAGGTAGAGAGGGGTAGAGAGGGGGGGGTAGGAGGGGTAGAGAGGTAGAGAGGGTAGAGGGGGGTAGTAGAGGTGAGAGGTGAGAGGAGGTAGGTGAGGGTGAGGGTAGAGGGTGTAGAGAGGTAGAGGAGGAGGAGGGGTAGAGAGTAGAGAGGTAGAGGAGGTAGGAGGGGTAGAGGTAGAGGGTAGAGAGGTAGAGGGGGGGTAGAGGGGTAGAGGTAGAGAGGTAGAGAGGGAGGGGAGGAGGAGGGTAGGAGTAGGGTAGAGGGGGGTAGAGAGGTAGAGGAGGGGTGTAGAGGGGTGGATAGAGGGGGGGGTAGAGGGGTAGAGAGGTAGAGAGGGGAGGGGGTAAGAGTGGGTTAGAGGGGGTAGAGAGGTAGAGGGTAGAGGGGTAGAGGGGGGTGGTAGGGGTTTAGAGAGGAGGAGGGGGGTAGAGAGGTTAGAGGGGTAGAGAGGTAGAGAGGTAGAGGTAGAGGGGTAGGGGTAGAGGGGGGGGTGGAGGGGTTGGTAGAGGGGTAGAGAGATAGAGGGGTAGAGGGGTAGAGAGGTAGAGAGGTAGAAAGGTAGAGAGGTAGAGAGGTAGAGAGGTAGAGGTAGAGGGGTAGAGGGGTGGAGGGGTAGAGGGGTAGAGAGATAGAGGGGTAGAGGGGTAGAGAGGTAGAGGTAGAGGTATAGGGGTAGAGGGGTAGAGAGCCAGAGGGGTAGAGGTTAGGGGTAGAGAGATAGAGAGGAGGAGGGGTCGAGAGATAGAGGAAGAGGTAGAGGTATAGGGGTAGAGGGTTAGAGAGCGATTTTTCTCTCTCTCTGTCTCACACACACACACACACACACACACACACACACGCATACACGCACACACACACGCACACACGCACACACACACACATACACATATTGCTTTAGTGTGTGAGAACTTACGGCTAGCTCTGTTTTCATTTCTCCTCCAAAGCTGCCTGCTGTTCTTCTACCCACCCGAGACTTCCATTTGGATGAAAAATGAAACAGAGAAAGTCTATATTGACCACACTACCCACACAGGAGAATTCAGGGATGCATCTCAAATAGGACCCTATTCCCTATGTAGTGCACTACCTTTGACCAGAGGGTTATGGTCACTATATAGGGAATAGGGTGCCATTTGGGACGCACACCGGGTAAACAGAGACGCAAAGTAACAAACTCAGTGGGAGAGCTGATTCCACTTCCTGATATCTAGGCAGGCGGGAGCTGAAATCCTTCTATGTACATAAAAGCATGACAATACTGATTAACCCAGACTTGTAGAAGAGATATGTGGTGTTCTCATTATTGCTCAGCACAACACAGGGACCAGTGTCTAACAAGAAGCAAGCTAGATACAGCGCCTTCGGAAAGTATTCAGACCCCTTGACCTTTTTCACATTTTGTTACATTATAGCCTTATTCCAGAATGGATTAGATTGTTTTTTCCCCCTCATCAATCTACACACAATACCCCATAATGAAAAAGCAAAAACAGGTTTTCAGAAATTTTACCAAATGTATAAACAAAAAAACCCAGAAATATCACATTTACATAAGTATTCAGACCCTTTACTCAGTACTTTGTTGAAGCACCTTTGGCAGTGATTACAGCCTGGAGTCTTCTTGGGTATGATGCTACAAGCTTGGCACATCTGTATTTGGGGAGTTTCTCCCATTCTTCTCTGCAGATCCTCCCAAGCTCTGTAAGGTTGGATGGGGAGCGTCGTTGCACAGCTATTTTAGGGTTTCTCCAGAGATGTTTGTTCGGGTTAAAG